CACCCCTCCTCGTCATCACCCCCGCTGGGCCGCCCCAGATGCTGCGCCAAGGAGGACATGCGAAACCGAAACCACGAGCGAAACCGAAACCGACCGAACCGATAGCGAAACCGGAGCCGACCGAAATCAACAAGCCGCAAGCAGCCTAGAAGAGGAGGGGCGCAGCGACGCGGCAGCGACACCGTGGCCGACCGAACCGAACCGAACCGACCGAACGCAACCGACTGCGACGCAGCCAAACCGACCGAACCACGAACACCCTGTGACTCTCGCCATCGCTCGGACATCCATTCCCCGTGCACTTTCCGGCCTCCCTCGTGTTTTTTCTTGCCAGATGATCCAGGATGCTCCTCGAAGGCCCTCGCCGAGAAACAATGCTCGGGCGTTGGCAAAACTGGGTTGAGTGGGACCTGGTTTAATGATGTGTACTGGGGGACGCCCCCCACGCCCCGTTCCACTAACCGGAACTGCCGTCACCCAGAAAAGCACCAGCTACGGCAGACCTGGCTTGGTGATTCTGGCCAATTCAGGGGCTCCGGGGCCCAACCACTGAGTGGGTCCCCTTACCTAGGGGGAAAACAAACCTACCTCGCTTTTGACCACCCTCGCTTCCAAAAGATACCAAGCGATGCCAAACTACGGCCTGTACTGGTCAGGTCGCTTGACGAGGAGGCGCGTGGTATGACTTGTTTTTTTCCTGGAAGCGAAGCGGGGTAGGTAATTCACGCTCTGATTACATGGGGTCCTGGGTATACCCGAAATGCACACGGCCGAGCGATGCCGGGGCGGCCCCCGATCCTGCGCCACGGAGGACATGCCGGCCAGCTCCTCCGCCACCGTGAAGCACTCGGCCCCGCCCAGGAGCCGTAGGTCCGCGCAGGCCACGAGGGGGCCCCGCCGCCCGCCCCCGCCGCCGAAGAGCCTCTCGCCAGCGGCGCGCGGGAGCGACCCTCCTCCTCCTCCTCCTCCTCCTCCTCCTCCTCCTCCTCCTCCTCCTCCTCCTCCTCCTCCTCCTCCTCCACCTCCACCTCTTCTTCCTCCTCCTCCTCCTCCTCCTCCTCCACCTCCTCCTACTCCTCCTCCTCCGCCTCCGCCTCCGCCTCCTCCCCCTCCTCCTCCTCCTCCTC